GATATAAATATAGTTATATATAGTTATTATTATTGAAGCTACATTAATGAAGATACAGTATACAATATAAATCAATATATTTGTAACGTAATACATATTTTCCATTTAAATATGATATTCGCATTATTAATCTTATAAATAATTATATGATATACAATATTTGATGAATTTGGAAATATGTATGAGTGTTAGAAATACTAAATAGTAAAAATTGTAACAAGTAATGAATGAATAGCGTTTATTCGATTATATGTACGACAGCGCTATATCTACAGGTATATACAGGGTGGTCCGAATTTTATGCAGGAAACTTCGAGGGTAGATAGATCTCTTCAAAATAATAATTGTTTGCCTTATAAACATAGGTCTGGAACGGCCCCGTTTTAGAGATACAGGATGTCGAGGTTTAAAAAAAATGATTTTTTGTTTATATCGCACACTACCGCACAGGAAAGGAGTGTAAATAATTTTGTTGATGTACTTACAAATGGCACTTACTTTTAAACATAAACAAATATTCTTGTAATATTATCGTTAGAAGTATTTGCCATAAGGGGATTGTATTGGTATGAATAACTTTAGAACGGCGAATCTTAGGGAAAAAAATAAAGTCACCTTTTTTACGTATTTTGTGCATTAAAATATAAATCAGTTACAATGACATGTAAAAAATGCAGTGGCGTGGGTTTTTTTGTAAAAAAGGGGGTGACCTCTGTCCAGTTGTACACCACTGGTTGAACCTTTAAAGCTCATATTTCAGGGGATATAAGGCCTACTATCGTACATTATATGTACCAAATTTTATTGAGATCGGTTAATAGATTCCAGAGATATAAACAAAAAATCAATTTTTTTTGACAACTTCAACACCCTGTATCTCTAAAACGGGGTCGTTCCAGACCTATGTTTATAAGGCAAACACATATTATTTTAAAGAGATCTATCTGCCCTCGAAGTTTCCTGCATAAAATTCGGACCACCCTGTGGCCGGAGTTCATCTGCAAATTTAACGGGTTAAAAAAAAGGGGCGGGTTTAAAACAAATACTACATTAAAGTATAAGTATCGAGGATCAATTTGCGCTTTTGAACGTTCCGAAAGCTTTGGTAGGAGCTGATATGAATTTTCGAGGTTGGCAACTTTTAGCCATTTTTCGACCTTAAATCGCCCCTAGCTCGAAAAGGAAACGTTTTACGAAAAAAATGTCAAGAGACAAAAAGTGTTTATTTGTGCCCAATTTACCTCAAAAAAATTGTTTGCAGAGCGTTTTTTGCAATATTTTTATTTTGTAACTTTTTTGTTAATAACAAATTACCTGCCACTCGGACACAAAAATGTTACTTAGGTTTGCAATAACTCAATGCATCGATTACAAAAGGTTTCATCCAGGCCCCTTCTCGTGGTCGGTGACCTTGATTTTCTAAGCATCTTTTTAGGGGTGGACCGCTCGTCTATTAGGTGTTAAATATTCTTTCATCCACGCTTGTATTTTTTTTCTCTTGAAGTGTTTGTCAATAAAAATACGTTCTTATCATTGGTATGTAAGTTTGTTGATAGTTCTGTGATATTTGGGATTTCTGTAAACCATATTTGTTTTGTTTCTATAGCATCTTCGATTACTGGTATTGATTCTTGACTATCATTTTGGGAGTGTACAGTTTCGTTGTCGCTAACTTGTAGTATATTATCTGCGATTTTTTGAGCTACATTTTCATTTACGTTTTGTGGTAAATATTGAATTGTATTTTCGGCGGTGTCTTTATTTATTCTTTGTATGTATTCTTTCAAACTTTCTATAAGTCTATTTATATCGCTAGGTGTTGGTGATTGATTTATCTTTAGAGGATCCAGCTATAGCAATATTTGAATACGTGATAAAGCGTCGTGTCCGCGTCCGTCGGCTGCAACGTTGCTTTTTCCTTTTCTGTGAACAATTTCGTAATTAAATTCTTCTAAATTTTGGATTAATATTTCTTCTACGTAATCCTGATCCATTGGTATATTCTTGTCTGATATTTCGTATTGTTTAAAAATTCTTGGGTGAAAGGTTTAATTTTTATTGGCCTTTCTATTTGTAGAGTTGTCTCTTCGAAATTACAGCAACGGTAGTTATAACCAAGTTATTTTCGATGTTGACAAGAGCTGAGGGTGTTTCTATACCACTCTTTAAGTTTTGGTGTGGTATTATACCTTCCTTAAGTTTTGTTTTTTTCTACGGGTAATTTTGTTACAATTTCGGTTCTGGGTGGAATTACAATTTTCTTGGAATCTGAAGTTGATACATTTACTGTAATAGATGTTTTTTCTATCCCTATTATTAGTTTATTTTTATTAATATTAATTTATGCTTTTATATCCTTTATTAAATGCATATATATTCTAATTCAGCCTCCAAATTTTGGGTTGAAATCGAATAAATAGAATTTGTGTTCTTTGTGTGAATTAAAAGTTTTGGGTAATTTAATCTTTACACTACACATTGTTCATGTGTGGTTGTTCCGCGTGTGGTTTGTATTAAAAAATGGTCAATATTAATTTTGCTTTAAAGAGTTGTCTTGCTTATTCTGGTTTTATTAAACATTCGGTAGATCCTGTATCTATAAAGAAATTTTCTTTTAGGTCGGTGTTATAAAATGAGGTGATTGAATTTCTATTAGAGAGCAAATTTGTACAGAACTCGGCGTATTGCCTTGTTGTGGGTTTTGTGGTCTCGGAAACGATAAATTTGTTATAGGACGTTGACCTGCTTGCTGTTGCCAATAATTTGGTCTGTTTGGCCATTGATATAGACGATTATTCGGGGCTTGTGTCACTTTTCTAATATAATTTAGATTGTTTTCTTCAGATACGATACTTATGGCTTGTTCCAAAGTTTGGGAGTTTCTGCAACGTACTATTAAGCTGTATGGCTTCTTCAGTCCCTTCATAAAAGTTTTCACGGTTAAATTTCGGTACATATTATTTTTTTCAATTCTTAGAGCTTCAGTGATAACAGAGGAATTCACTTTAAATAGCAAAAGACAGAGTGTCCTGACATTTTTCGCCAAAACGCAGGGATGATTCGTTACTTTCTTGTTTTAGCATTATAAGGTCCCTCATTAGAGCGTCTACCGTCTCGTTGATCGCCAAATGTAAACAAAATTGCTTGTTTTAGTTCATTCCATGACTTCAGATTTCGTACTGCAATTAATTGTGCTGTTCTTCCAACTAATTTGCTTCTTATATGGACTACAAAAAGAAATTGTAATTTGCATCATTGGGTCTTCCTAATATTTGAATAACGTTTTCACATACCAAAATAAAGTGTAGTCTCTAATTGAGGGTTGAGCCATCCTTGTCTCTGTTCTATTCACGATATTAATTCTATAATTTGTAGGTATGCCTCCAAATTTGTTAATAATTTCAATGACTGCTCTTGGCATTAATTGTTTGTTATTTATTTGTTGTTAGTAAAAATAACACTTTATTTTATTTTTGATTTTAAAGTGTAGCGCAAATTGTATGTTTAATTGCAACGAGGGATATACTTGAACAAGTCAAGCAATGCTCTATCGCAACAATTGTCAGCGGGACAATTTGACATATAATTTCGAAGTGCTAAGCCAAAAAAATATATTTTGAGAATTTCTGGTAAAAAGGATGGGGTTGATGAAACTACTTGCAGGAGAAATGATCAATCGTACTTACATTAAAATGATGAGGGTTGTCGCTTCCTTGAATTCTGGATTTCTGGATTTGCTTCTTTTGACTTTCGATTTTCTTCTTCTTGGTTACTTTCTTCTCAACTATGAACTACTTTTCTTCACGGACTCTGCCGTTGACCCTGAGTACTTCTTCGTTCACTCAGGGAGGTTATCCCAAGTAAGCGATTGGAACCAGCATTCATTTTCAATTTTTGTAAAATGACTCTTCTTAGCTATCCCACTTGTGACACCAGTTACGTGTTTTGTGGTAACAGCACTGTTTTTTAAAATCTTAATAATTTTTTAGAAGGATTACAAAAAATTAAAAAACAGAACTTTGTCTCGATGGTTGGAGAACAAGTGTTTGTTCATGCAAGGTAATACATTCTCTAGAATTATTATCTTAACATATCATAATTCTTAGATATCGGGTTCACCGAGCTCGTAACTCGCATACCAAACAAAATAATAAAAAGAAAAACACTAAAAAGATATACAATAATTGATTAAAATATTCGTGGTCCGTAATTAGTTCTTATCTATTTAAAATGTATTAGGCAGAATATGTCTTTTTGTGACCGATGGAATGGCGAAAATCACATTTTGATATCATGTCTACTTTTCGAGATATTTGATATTTTTGAGTAAAAAACGTTCAAATAACACCGAAACGGTACAACCTGGACCCAATATTTTTTATCAAGGCCTTAAATTCAATGAGGAATTCAAGAGAACAAAAATATACCGAGTGCTTCCTTTCAGAAAATTAAACTAGGCAGTGTCTAGAAGAAATGAGATATATTCAGAATAATTTATGAATATGAAGAAATTGGTTTAGTGCTACTTTCATTTGAAACAGTTTTTGTGATATTGATATTACCGGAACTAGGAAAGAATCCTCTTACGTATGACAATATGTATCCTTTACTATTAGAGGTAAATTATAAGAGATCGCTTTAACTATGTAAAAATGAGTGATCTCTTTAAGAAAACATGAATTTTGATTACATCCTCGAAAAGTCACATTAGTTAGTCATACACAAATTATTTTCCTTTCACGTTGGAACGGTGCGATTCGGCGATTTTCGACGTAATTTTGTTCTATTGTCTCTTATAGTTTTTACAGTTATGAGATATTCGAAGTGAACGAATAGGTGGTATGGTATCAATTGAATGTGGAAATTCTATAAAAATTAAAAAAAAAATACTAAAAATTTTACATTTTCTACATTTTTTTAAATACAACTAGCTATGTGAGAGAAATTATTACAACTGTTTAAAATTTTTTAAGTTTGCAAAATTTCTAAATTACAAAATCTTATCTATTGATCAAATCAAAGTTTGTACTTACACATAAAATTGGTTTTTTGTCTTTCAATATATTATGTAACTCCGTCAACATTTGGACGGTAGCTGCATTGTCCATATGAGGGTTATCCATAAGAGTATTTTCACTTGCACTTCTACAAAGACCTTCATTAATTGGATTGTCATTCTGAGGTTTTGAACATTGTTCCTTAATAAAAAAATAATAAATAAATAAATAAATAAATAAATAAATAAACAAATAAATAAATAAATAAATAAATAAATAAATAAATAAATAAATAAATAAATAAATAAATAAATAAATAAATAAATAAATAAATAAATAAATAAATAAACATATACAGGCTGTCTACTATAAGAGGGTCCTATGGATCTCGTTTAATACACGACACACGTTAAAAATCTTAAATTGTTTCTTTGCATTTTCTGCGGCCTTTATGTTCGTAAAAACAAATTTGAGATCCATGGCCAACTTTATGAGTAGGTAATTATAAAAAACCGGAAAAGTACCGAAAGTTTAGGACTGTTTAACTTTATTATTTTAAGAGATAGAGAAAACTTATTATAAATTTTCTGGCAAAAGTGATACCTTTCACATGACATAAACAAATTTTTGAAGTATCGGATTTGCTGCGCCCTCTACGCGGGCAAAAAAAAATTGTCATCGAATCAGGCAGTGGCTACAAAAAAATTGCTTTTTTTTTTCTCTTTCATGTGAGATAACTACATGTCGCCTTTATCTTATATATATTACATTTTTTATAACTGTAGTATAAAAAATGTAAACATTTTCATGTTGCTTAAGTTAATGTAGAAATTGTTTTAAACACGCCAACTATAGAAAATTTAATAAATATAATGTACTTCTTTCAAGCAAAATTCAGATTTTCTTATCAGATTATTAGGTATATTATTGCTTTTTACATTATAGAATTAACATTGTTCTTGCACAGAGAAAATAGCTTACGCTAAATGTAGCACGCTATAAAAACAAATGTGTTATGCCAGTAATGTCATCATTTGGCAAATTGTTTATTGTTGTCATAGTTTATACATAATTGTGGGATTGAAAATTGCTATAGTTCATTTTGATTTGAAAATAATTTTGAATATTGTCTAATGGTATCTTCAAATATTTAGAAGTAGGTACCTATAATATGTTTGTGTTGTAACGTCAATGTAATTTCAATTCTATTCAAGCACTGATAGAATACAGAAATAGATTCCCAAATATCCTCCAACCAACCGAAGAACTTTTTCAAAATTACGAGAACAATTTCAAAGATATGGATGAAGAAAATCTGTATTGTGATTAAAAGATATACATAATATTTATTAAATTTTTGTAGTTGGCGTATTTAAAACAATTTATACAGGGTGATTCACAACTTATCCAAAAAAATTTGGGAATAGATGCGGCATGAGAAGTGGAGTCAATATTGTAAAAAAAAATAATCTCTAGCGTCATTCGCAATACGCGTGGAGAGCCATGTGACTCCTAATACTGAAATCCGTCGTTGCGGTAGTTTTTACCTGTTATCTGTGGTATTTACATCAGTTTTTTAGTAGTTAGTGTCAAAAATTGCTTGCGTGTATAGCAACTCAGAGTTGATGGATATCGTTTTAATTTATGGTGAGGCAAGATATCATTTGCGTTATTTCGTAGAAAGTGAGTAAGACGGACCTAAATGTGTTTACACGTGAGTGGATAAAATTTTGAATAATTGCTGTTGCACCATCGGGTATGTCAAATGATTTTATTATTTAAAAACACAAATTAATTTTATTAATAATTAATAAAGGCAAAAGCATTTGAATTTGCCGATATAAAATAGGTGCGATAAAATTCTATTTACATATTTCTTTCCTTGCGAAAGTTTTTGTCCGTTTTTATCACTCCGCCATACCGGTCGCATTGTGCGAGGTCAGGTTTTACAGTGGACCAGTTTCCAGTGCTGTGCAGAAGTGTATTTTTAAATCAATTTCGAACTGACCGTTTTGATTTTTTCTTTACAAAATTGTATTTGTAAGGGTCCCCTGTACATCCAGAATTTTTTTTTCGATAAGTTCTGCATCACCCTGTATATTAACTTAACTAAGCAATCCGGAAATGTTTACATTTTTTATATCAAAATTTAAAAAAAATAATAAATATAAAAAATAAAGTAGACATGTGGTATATCCCATGAAATAGGAAAAACCAAGCAATTTTTGTGGCCACAGTCTCCTGCTCCGATGACAATTTTTTAGCCGCGTAGAGGGCGAAATTACATACAATCCTTAAAAAGTCTGGTGATAGGTACCAATTTTGTCATAAAATTTTATTAGAATAAATTTTCTCTATCTCTTAAAATAAAAAAACCTTTGGTATTTTCCGGTTTTTTTATGATTACCTACTTATAAAGTTGGCCATGGATCTCAAATTTGTTTTTACGAGCATAAAGACCTCAAAAAAGCAACAAAAATCGAGATCAATAGGAGTGGTCCTAGTAGATAGGCTATGTTACTACGGAGCCAAAATCCCATGTATTTTCTTATGAAGGTTCAGATTGCAAATTTTTGGGGGATTTTACCCCCCTCTCCTCCACTTTTAGGCCACGGCCATCGACCAATCAGAGCGTAGCATTCAAATTGGCCACGTCTCTCGACCAATCAGATCACGGCAAATTGGCGGTAAATTTAAAGTCCAGTAACGATAGGTTGTTTGATCAATCAGAGTGCGGCAATAAAATTGGTGGTAAATTCAAATTTCTAGATTTAAACGTTTGCGCAATAGAGATCGGAGTGAAGGAGAGAGGTGGGCTGCAATTGACGGTAAATTTAAAGTTGATTTCGAATTTTATTTAAATTAAAAAAGTCTTGCTCTGTCTGAGATTCGAACCACGAACTTTTGGTTTCCAAAGCGAGCCCGTTGCCTCTAGACCACCATAGTATCAACTAACAACAGGAATACTGTGGTTGATATATGTCAGCTATTAGTGTGAAATTTCATAATCTTAAGATGAGAAATTCAAACACAGCTCCGTTCAGGACTCTTGAACGAAAAAACATGTGCATTAGCACCTTATTATACATACTTAATTAACACCCTGTATAACATTATCTATTTAATTACTAGAAGAATTCTATGCTATTTAGAAAATGAATTTAATAGAAACCGTTGTTATTATTATCTTAATACTGTCGTGCCATTAAGCTCAGTAGTATACCATGTTATATCTTAAGTTCGTATTAAAGCCCATGTGACCAACGCTAACTACTTATTCTTTTAAATATCAAATTGTATTGAAAAAGCAAAAGTTCAGCCTAGGTCTGGGAGAGAACGTATTAAGGAACAAACCAACAGATATAAAAACCTTTTAAAATCTAAGAGTTTTCATGTCGCTTCTTTAAGAACATCCTGTAGACTGCTGCTGCTGCTGCTGCTGCTTCTGAAGTGGCCTGAAGAATGTAGGTGCCTAGAGGAGAGGAATGAGAAAGAAAATCTCAGTATGTGTACACCGTTTATTAAGACTGCTTCTTAAAGCTGTTAAAAATTCAGATTCAATAGGTACTAGTTTAATATTAGAACGAGAGAGATAACAAATGGTATTGTTACCTTTATACATGTGTCATCACAAAGCACGACAACAGCCGGGGTTCATTCGCCAGAAATTGAGAGGGTATATGAAATAAATATCAAAAATTCAAACACAGCTCCGTTCAGGTCTCCTGAACGAAGAAACATGCGCATTAGCACAATATATTTATATTTCGCTAATGGTTTGAAATAAATAGCTGTGTTACTGACGTAAAAGCATTAGCCACGTATACAAAATCCAGGCGACAGGCAGATTTGTACATCTACCGGATGTTTATTTTTAAATAACACAACTCTTGTAACTTATATACAAGTTGTCTGATTGAGAGAAATTTTTTTACACTATAAATATGGAGAAGAAATGCCGTCGGATGGAATATCAGTTATAACGTAAAAAGGGGCTATTATATTTGTTGCATAAATTGTTAGATAAAGGATGAGACGTAGAATATTTTTTCATTGCTGATTTTTTCTCTTAAACATAATATAAGTAAAACCTTAAAATCACAATGCTTTAGACTAAAATTGGAGCAAAAATAATAATAATTCCAGATATTTAGTTTTTATGTCAACTTCAGATCTACATCTATGTCGTATGAGTAAAATGACAAAATAGAACAAGTTAAATTACTAATTTAATTAATGATACAGTTATGAAGGATTTCGATTATTTTTCAAAAAGTTGTAGGAAAAGATAAAGTTAATGTACGGCTTTTATATAAACATTATTTTAAACGAAAATAATTCATTTACATAAGATTTGCCGTTTTACTACAAATTGATGGTTTTGTAAAAGTCGAAATGTTTGTTATGTTGTATATGTTACGTTGAGAATATTAATTTTCAAGTAATTTAATGATAATATACTATACATATATTATCGTCAACAATTAAAGTTCCTTAGTAAAAGTGTTTATCTAGTTTAATACTACTAGATTTATCCTAGATTAAACATTTAAAGAATACATATATTTATACGAGGTGTAACCAAAATGCTTGTCCAAACTTGAATAACAGATTCTATTTCACAAATTCCTGGTGCAAAATGACATTCGAGCTGAACTTGGTAAATATAAAGATCACATTATGAACTGAGATCACATGAGCAACCATTGAGATTGATGTTTAGAATATGGACAAAAATAAAAAATATGTTTAATGCATGCGCAGAACATACTTGTAATTAGTGCCTTAGTTTCTTCAAAATCGCAATGTTAGCATAAATCATGATAAGAGAGGTCAATGAACTCCAAACAGCATTACATCATTCTAATACGGTATTGCATCATTCGATTTAGGTTCGATCAGCACCACATTGAAATTGATGGGGGATTTAAAATATATGTAATATTAAAAAAATGGCTGCATAGTAGATCTCGGGATGATGGGGATTGGCGGTAAATTCAAAAACTGAAATAATAGAAATAATATATATGTGACAAAATATATGTGTAGAACATGTAATTAATTACTTTAAAATCAATAAGTCAACACAAATCATACTTATAAGGAAGGTCAATGAACTTCAGACAGCATTACATCATTCTTATTCGGTATTGCATCAATATCAGCGTATGAGTGGAATTAGCGGGAAATTCAAATCAAAA